CCTATACCGCTACGGCCAGCTGCGCAGCTGTTCCGACCACTGGAACGACTTCTGGTTCTGCATGCGCACCAAGAACAGTTATAGTGGGCAAGACGTTAAAGAGAGGATGATTCAGGATCGGTATCGCGAGAAGGAGGAGAAGCTCAAGAGTGGGCCGAATAGTGAGAATATATGGAGGAAGAGGGGGCCCGGGGAGGAGGTTAAGAACGCGTTTAGTAGGGCGGCGGAGGATTTGGAGGGACAATGAGCAGAAGGTGAGGGAAGACGCATGTACGATAAGGTGTGTGATATATCAGCCTACAGAGCATGTAATTGTACAAAAGCGCGGTTGGACGGAGTAGATCCTGACGATGACATTGGGCGCAAGTCCCCAGATGACCAAATGCTCGAGCACATCGTATACGCCAGGCATGTGGTTTGATTATGCGACCAGCCTCTGCAAGATCAGTGAACACCTCCTGGGCCCCAGATCCCGTAGCATATGATATGGGAAAACACGATGTATTCTGCAGCGGAATCACTTTCCCTTGCTTGTAAGGCACAGCGAGCGAAAGATTAGTAGTGCTGTTGTTACTACCAACGCGCCCAACGGGGTCTTTCAACCAAAGAATATGGAGCACTCCAACGCATCAGTAATATTCCCCAGCATCCGCAAACTCTAGCACGTTGAGTTTGGATCATGGGCCGAGAAGCGTCACTATTGCGCATTCTGCGCGTCAATAGCCACGATACTGCTGAGATCAGAATGCCGTAGACAGCATGGATGAAGTAGCAGCACCAGGATAGCATAACTAGGAAGATGCTTGACTTCGCTGAATCACTCACTAATCAACCACCCGCTACAGTGATCTGTAGTGTTTCTTAGAACACATTCCACAATGCAAAACATGGCGTATACACCCGCAATCATGGTATTTTTCGAGTGTCAGGAACCACAGCCTGCTCCATATGTTCAAAGCGCATCTCATTCAAGGGAAAATCTAGACACTCTGGAAGCTACATTGACCTCTAGTCATCTAAGTTGCACACTTTCATCTTGACGTAGGCTGCAGACCCGGTCAGCGACTCCTTGTATGAGGAGATTGCGCGTCTCCAATACCCTGGCAACACGTGAATGCCGCGAGTACATCGAAGCTCCCTTTGTCTAGGCCGCGAACAAAGCATATGCGTGGCAAGGTACAAGCCAGAACAACAAGCCTGTTGGTACGTGTTGTGTGCGATCAAACAGGACGCTGGCCGTATTGGTAGGCAAACGCCGCCGCGGTGACTTCACTCGATCGCGGCGGTTGAAAAAATCCTGGACATCTGGAAGCTACTTGAAGCTACCCGTCGTTGCTATGGGCGGAATGACATATGGGCCCGCTCATGGCGGGGCAGCTCGCTTATGTCACCCGTTTGAGGCTTTGGTGGGGTGAGGCCTCCGTCATAGCAAGGCGGCGGCCAGCGCCCTCTGCGGCGGCGACAGAAGATGCACGAAGATTCATAGTCCGCGAGCAGAAGGCGTTGGGCGCAATACCGCGGCCGTGCAATCAGCCGCGAGTGGAGCCAGGATGACAAGAATTAGGCATTTGCCCCCGGAAAGCGTGCCAGGCAGCTGTTTCTAGTGGGTCGCAGAGCTTGCGCGAGCTTGCGGGAAGGTTCTGGTTGGTTGCTTGGCGCGTCGAAGGCGCTGGAATTCTGTAGAAACACCACGCTGCCAGGCGATACAAAAACTTCGTCTGCCCGCGCCTTGGGACTGTTTCTCTTTCCACTACACAACACAAACCACACTACACCGCGAAAGCCTCACCTTTATAAGTCACCGACTTGTGAGCATACCACTACTTTTTCTTCCCTTTTGATACCCCACTACACACACATATCGACATCATGGCACCCGCGATTGGTATCGATCTTGGTACTACCTACTCGTGCGTAGGTATCTTCCGAGATGACCGCATTGAGATTATCGCCAACGACCAGGGTAACCGGACAACACCTTCGTAAGTCACCACTTCTTGCCTACAGTCGCGACCACTACTAACATGTCCAAGGTTCGTTGCCTTCACCGACACCGAGCGTCTCATTGGTGACTCCGCAAAGAACCAAGTCGCCATGAACCCTATCAACACCGTCTTCGACGCCAAGCGCCTCATCGGCCGCAAGTTCGCCGACGCTGAGGTCCAGGCCGACATGAAGCACTTCCCCTTCAAGGTCATCGACAAGGGCGGCAAGCCAGTCATCCAGGTCGAGTTCAAGGGCGAGGAGAAGACTTTCACACCCGAGGAGATCTCATCCATGGTCCTGGTCAAGATGAGGGAAACCGCTGAGTCCTACCTCGGTGGCACCGTCAACAACGCTGTCGTCACTGTCCCCGCATACTTCAACGACTCGCAACGTCAGGCCACCAAGGATGCTGGTCTCATCGCCGGCCTCAACGTCCTCCGTATCATCAACGAGCCCACCGCCGCTGCCATCGCCTACGGTCTTGACAAGAAGACCGAGGGTGAGCGCAACGTCCTCATCTTCGACTTGGGTGGTGGTACCTTCGATGTCTCCCTCTTGACCATTGAGGAGGGTATCTTCGAGGTCAAGTCCACTGCCGGAGACACCCACTTGGGTGGTGAGGACTTCGACAACCGTCTGGTCAACCACTTCACCAACGAGTTCAAGTAAGTACAAAGTCCACCCTGGCGCCTACATCGTCTTCGTCAACAACACATTGTTCACGGAGACTGCTTTGTATCCATGAACATATGCTAACTATGTAACCTAGGCGTAAACACAAGAAGGACTTGACCTCCAACGCTCGTGCTCTCCGCCGTCTCCGAACTGCCTGCGAGCGGGCTAAGCGCACTCTGTCCTCGTCCGCACAGACCTCCATCGAAATCGACTCCCTGTACGAGGGTATCGACTTCTACACCAGCATCACCCGTGCCCGTTTCGAAGAGCTCTGCCAGGACCTCTTCCGCTCCACCATGGAGCCCGTCGAGCGTGTCCTCCGCGATGCTAAGATCGACAAGTCCTCCGTCCACGAGATCGTCTTGGTCGGTGGATCCACCCGTATCCCCAAGGTCCAGAAGATGGTCTCCGACTTCTTCAACGGCAAGGAGCCCAACAAGTCCATCAACCCCGACGAGGCTGTCGCCTACGGTGCCGCCGTCCAGGCCGCTATCCTGTCTGGTGACACATCCTCCAAGTCGACCTCCGAGATCCTGCTTCTCGACGTCGCGCCGCTCTCCATCGGTATCGAGACTGCTGGTGGTGTCATGACTGCTCTCATCAAGCGCAACACCACTATCCCCACCAAGAAGTCCGAGGTCTTCTCCACTTTCTCCGACAACCAGCCCGGTGTGCTTATCCAGGTCTACGAGGGTGAGCGTGCTCGCACCAAGGACAACAACCTTCTCGGAAAGTTCGAGCTCACTGGTATCCCACCTGCTCCCCGCGGTGTCCCCCAGATTGAGGTCACCTTCGACGTCGACGCCAACGGTATCATCAACGTCTCCGCCCTTGAGAAGGGTACCGGAAAGACCAACAAGATTGTCATCACCAACGACAAGGGCCGTCTGTCCAAGGAGGAGATCGAGCGCATGTTGGCCGAGGCCGAGAAGTACAAGGCTGAGGACGAGGCTGAGGCTGCCCGTATCTCTGCTAAGAACGCTCTCGAGTCCTACGCCTACTCGCTCCGCAACACCCTCAGCGACTCCAAGGTTGACGAGAAGCTCGATGCCGGCGACAAGCAGAAGCTCACCGCCGAGATCGACAAGACCGTCCAGTGGCTCGACGACAACCAGACCGCCACCAAGGACGAGTACGAGTCCCAGCAGAAGGAGCTTGAGGGTGTCGCCAACCCCATCATGATGAAGTTCTACGGAGCCGGTGGTGAGGGTGGCATGCCCGGCGGTATGCCCGGTGGCGGTATGCCCGGCGGCGGTGCCCCAGGTGGCGCTGGCGGCGACGACGGCCCCACTGTCGAGGAGGTCGACTAAGCGGATCGCTTCTTCTTGATGCAGTCTGTTCGTCTTCTTTCTCCTTGTGCATCTTCAAGCATAGACTTCTTCTTTCTTAGGTGGTAGTTCACGGCGTTTCAACGGCCAACATTGAGCCCATTTTCACGGATTTTTTACTGAATGCATCGGATGAATAACGATCAATGATTCGGAGGAAAAGTTGGGTGGTATAGCATGTACTCTAATAGTGGGATTTCCATATCCTGTGTAGAGAGAATTGAGAGAATACTTCAAATACTTTGGCTTGTGTTGCTTTGTGATGTTGAGGTGTTGATCTGAGATGCCTATGATGATCTGATTCTGGGGTGTTGGTGGTGGTGGTGTAGCCTTCATATGGGCGCACCTTGTTCCAAGAGAAGACAACGCCTACTTATGAAAGCTTGAATAATATATGACCCAGAGGTCTACATTCGCGTCAAGAGCTCGCTATCTTTCGATTTTATACCAATGTAGGCTGCAGGGTGTTGTTTCCTTGAACGTGGTGGACTCATACGGACGTCAATTAGTGCATACCTTCAGGGTACATACATCTCCACAAGGTCGCACTGTAACCATTCTGCCAGCGTATTCCACGGCAAGAACTTTAGCCCATCTCGAGATCTCATTCAGCATAGCTCATCATGAGCAACTGTGACATACGAGGTGGAATAAAGCTAAGAGGGCAAGTCATAACATATACTTTATAGAAGCACTACGAACAGAGAACTCCACCCAAGTCTATACTTGCAGACACATGCAAAGGGGATCAAACGAGACATATAAATAAGTACATATGCACCACCTCGATGCACCGCGAGCCCAAACGCCAGTCGTGGGTATATAGTGCGAGACCGTAACGCGAAACCTGATACACCTGATCCCTTTCCAAGGGATAGTCGGAACACGCCCCTTACTACCACAGAAAGCGAGCAATGAACAACTCGTGTTGCAAAGGCCGGACGCCTACATCAACGTAGCATGTCTCCATTTACTCCCTCTCACAGTAGTGTAAGCCGCAAGAGACAAGTCTCAGTTTCCCCCTCCACCACCGCGTCCCCTACCGCGTCCCCGTCCATTACCACTTGCAGTCCGTGTCATCGCAACACCCCCACCATGACCACCGACGGCGAGCGAGTCCCTCTCTCCATAACGACCCAGCGGAGTGTTGTTACCAGCGTCCGACCACCCCGCCATACTACTCTGCGCACTCATCGGAACACCGCCTAAGCTAGCACCAACCTCAAGATGCGGCGCCGTACTCCTAAGCGCACTCGTCATCTCATGAACAGGCTCTGAGAAGTTTGGTGGCTGGACCTGGTAGTCACGCGCTTTAACGGGGTTGCAAGCAGCTTGTAGGAGTTTCTCATTGATATCGTCGTCGGGCGGTGCGTCTCTAAGCATCAGCTTCAGATCCTGTTCGATATCGTGTGCGCCGAGGGGAGGTGGTGGCGGAGCTGAAGCGTTGATCTTCTGGAAGATCTTAGCATCTAGAACAAAGGGCGGGTTATAGATGAACGGGGGTATTTGACCGCTCACTATAGCCGCCGTGGGGTTCAGAGCTGAGCGTGTGGCGCCGCGGGTCGCATGTGGGTTCGACGAGTGTTGGCGCATCATGTCGGTTGCGCCTGGGACGTCGTCGGAATCTTGGTCTTGGTCCATGGCGTCGCCGTTCTCGGATGCGTGCTCGCCGTTTGCGCCGTTGGTGTTGCCGTTCGTTGTGGCTTCCTGCGGTGCGGCCTCTGTGTTCTTCATCTTGGCGAAGAAGTGTGACGCCGCCATGGTGGCTTGGTTCATGGCCATGTTGAGCTCCTTCTCGCTGAAGAGGCGCTCGAGGGAGTATGCGGACGATTCGAATTGGGCATTGACGGTGCGCGCTTTGGCTTCGCGGAAGGGTGAGCCGATGCCCATTTCGGTGGGGCGACCAGATGGGCCTGGCGAATCGTTGTCCTGGTCCTCATACAGCTTGCGCTTTCTCTTGTGTTCAGTAGCAGCAGCCAGCTCCTCCGCGTCGCCAAACTTGTGCCCCGTCCTCCTGGTCTTTCGTGGCGCTTGCGGTCCGCCAGGGCTTGCGGGATGCCCTATGCTGAACTGATTGGGATGGAGGAGCATCGCGTTGCTGTCGGACAGATCCAGTTGCTCCTTCTCTCGCTTCAGCCTGTTTGTCCGTTGTTGTATGCTTGCGACCAGTCGTTCGCGGATGGTGGCGGCGAGCAGCTTGTGTTCTTCTTCAGCGATTTGGACTTTGTAGTAGTGCGAGTTTTCGATCTCGTTCTTGGTGTTCTCGTGCTTGTTCTGCGTAATTGGCGGTTAGCGTCTCGTTCCAACACAGCAGGAAGCCGAGGGACTCACCCAGAGCATGGTCAGGTTGTAGTCGCGCTCTTCCATCGCATCGTTGACGGCGTCGACAAATCGCGAATAGTGTTTTCCACATTGCGCAATGTAGTCGGTACCCGCGCTTGGTGCGGTAGGGACGTTGTTCCCCATGATCTGCGAGACGAGCTCGGCGGCCTCTTCATTGCTATCCTCGAGCGGCTGGTTCGCATACGGGTCGGCTTTCATAATCAGGTTGATGTCGGCTTGGAGCGCGGCGAGCTGGGCTCTGTAATGACTGTCCCGGTTGTCGGAGAAGGTAGCCATCATCTCTGCCAGCTTCTCGGCGAGCATGTTGCGCCGTTTGTCGCGCTTCGAAGGTTGTGGTTGAGGGGATGTCGCAGAATGGCCCAGCGGAAAGTTGTCCGCTGGCGACGGACTGCCATTTCGAACCATGGCGATAGGTGATGCCCTCGAGGGTCTAGGAGGCGTTGATCGTCTAAAGCAGGGTAGTCGCAGCGCTGCGCGTATGCTGGGGTCGGTTTGCTGCGTTGGAAAGAAGTTGGAGTCAGCTCGCTGTATGACACTAGGAATATGAAAAATCACAACTGCGCGTTTGACGAAGCAGTGCGACAGAGGTGCAGCGGGCGGGATGTGGTTTGCAAGAGCGAAGGGTCGGCAATCGAGCATCACACACCTGCCAGGGTCTAGCGTTCAGGAACGGCGCTAGGACCAATTTAGATGAACCGAAACAAAACCTACCAAAAAGGCCTGGCTCTGCGCCTCAGATGCTTGAGGTCAAGCAGACAGACAACACAATTGAGAGATTATGATCATTTCTCGTAGACAGTTAGGACGATTCAACACGTAACAGCGCCATTCGATACAACCGGAACGGACCACTTGAATTATATCCTACAATGATCAAATCCTAAAGGAGTGACGTCTTCTCTAACACCCTACATTCATACACGCTGTATTTTTTCCATTACCCTACTCCAATTCGTTGTCCATCTCCGCCTGGTTCATTGTATCCTCTGCAGCCATGACAGGCCGCCTACCGACGCCACCATGCCCAGCCATCGTCTTCATTCTAAGCTCTGAAGCGTCTTGCAAAGTCGTCGCACAGCTCAAGCGTCAGGGTTGCCTCGCCGTGATAGTGTTCAGTGCCCTCGGGCCTGTGATTGCCGACCCAAACAATCTCCGTGAAAAGCAGGCCGTCGGTGTTGTGAATGCGAAGTTTCTCGTCTTTGAAGGCTAAAGCGTTCGGGTCGCTCGGCGTGTTGCTCATGCTGTACCACAGATCTTCTCCATTCAAAGAGTACTGCAGGTTCAAGATTGGCTTCTCCGAAAAAGCGTCTTGCTTGATGACCTGGATGCTGACACCAACGCCGTCGAGAGCAGGTTTCTGTGCCTCGGACCAATTGTCGCCCGGCTGGATCTTCTTCAGCGGAGTTGCTTCCTTCTGAACGGTTGAGACCCAAACAGGGTAGTGGCACTTGTTGTTGATGATGATGTCGGCTGCGAGAGCGCTGTTGACCATCAGGGCGAGAGAGCCGATCACAGTTGGAATATGCATCTTGGCGGTGTAGGTCTCGAGATAAAGTTGGAAGTTGATAGAAGATTTGATGATAGTGGCTGAGTTGTGATGAAGCTTGAATGAATTACTTGAGCTTGCTTCTATACATACCGTCCCTTTGGCCCTTTCTTATACATAGTGAGGATGTCCTAAGAAGCCAATTGTACTTCCTTCCGGATTTGTGTACGGTATCGCAGCCAAAACTAGAAGGCGCTGCTATCTGTACGATGCTGCGACCCAAACTAAGGTGGCTGTGTCTGATCGCGGATGTGACAGCAGGTCATCTCCTGTGGATATCTGGATGATCTCATAGATCATGTGAGAAGTAACGTGCCCATCATAGCAGAGTGACTACTTGAGACTGCAAGGTAGGGTGGAGCCCCGCTTGTCCGGGGTGGCACAACAGTCAATACGGCCAAGTAATCGTTGTATCACGATGTTGACGCAGGTACAATCGTGCAGATACCCGCACATACAGGCGGTGAAGAAATCTCGATGGCGAATAGGAGAAGAGAGGGATAGTAGAAAGATGACAAGACAGTTTCGAAGCAATCGTCTCCGGTATAAACGCGTGACCGACGGGAGCTAACCGGTGAGCAGAAGAGGATTGCGCGTCAATAAATGTTGTGGTAACGAGATATCACAAAGCGTGAGACGGGTGTTCCTACGACAATCCTGTCAACTGTCATCATGCGGGTGACTGTACTCGATCAACATTTCCCTGTACAAACACACGATGCTAGCTCTTTGAGAGTGTAGGTGGGTCTTGCAGTACAGCTGAGCTCTAGCGAGCCAATCCATATGGTACACCATACTGCGTGGCCGTCGTGGTCACGCGTGGCTATGGTGAAGTGCAGGTTCGTGACATGTTCGCGTTTGTGACATATTGGCTGGTGTGAAGCATGTTTGCGTCGGACGAAGTAAATCTTTTTCAAGACGTGACCGTTCTAGTCGGCTCCGTCGACACTGAGAGTGCGGAAGGTCGACAGTAACGTGACATAACGTAGATTGAAGCTTGGAGGTCTGTCGGTTCACCACTTGGTATGGGGAAGGAGGAGAGTCCAAGAGCGCGACTAAGCCGGGCGGTGCCGTGTGCTGCCGAACCTCGGCACAGACGTCAGAGTGCGTATCCTCCACATCCCGCCGCCCGCATCTTAGCCACGGAACTGTTGCCGCCATGTGACAACCACGCTTCTGCTCGTTAGAGTCCTTTTCTCCGCATTCTCAGTACAGTTTGAACTTTCCGAGCATTGCTATTCAGCCATGTCGTCTTCTGCCCTCCGCACATCCATGAGAATGGCTTCGCGGCCTCAACAACGGCTGGCCAGCATCCAAAGACAATTCAGCAGCTCCGCGCCGCAAAGGAAAGAAATCCGAGATGCATACATTATAAGTGCTAGCCGAACACCAACTGCAGTGGTTAGTAGAACATCATCCCAAGCCATGTCAGCTACTAAACATGTCATAGTTCAATGGCAACTTCACAACCGTATCCGCGACGCAACTCGGCGCCACGGCCATCAAGTCGGCCCTCGAAAAGTCGACAGTTCCCATATCCTCGATCGATGCCGTATACATGGGCAACGTCCTCTCCGGAGGCGTCGGACAAGCACCAGCGCGTCAAGCAGCCATCTTCGCCGGCCTACCCACCAACATCGAAGCCACGACCATCAACAAAGTGTGCGCATCGGGTCTTAAGGCAGTCAACATCGCCGCCTCGACAATCGAGCTCGGACAAGCGGAAGCGCAGGTCGCGGGTGGCATGGAAAACATGACAAGAGTGCCATACTATCTAAACCGGGCAAGCCAACAACCAGCATTCGGCCACCAGAAGCTGCAAGACGGCCTAATCGCCGACGGACTATGGGATGTCTACAACCAGATCCACATGGGCAACTGTGCGGAGAACACAGCCAAGAAGTACGAAGTCTCAAGGCAGGACCAGGACGACTACGCTATCGAGACCTACAAGCGCGCGCAGCAGGCATACAAGGATGGACTCTTCAAGGATGAAATTGTGCCAGTCACCGTCAAGTCGAAGAAGGGCGAGACGATCATCTCCGAGGATGAGCAGTACAACAAGCTGAAGCTGGACAAGGTTTCCACACTGAAGCCGGCGTTCGAGAAGGGACCAGACGGCTCAGTCACAGCAGCCAACAGCTCACCTCTCAGTGACGGCGCATCAGCACTGATACTAGGAAGCAAGGAGATTGCCCAGAAATACGGCAAGGACAGCCGCGTACTAGCAAAGGTCGTCACCTACGCCGATGCCGCTGTTGGTACGTACCACCCTCCTCTTCTTACAACCCACCCTTACTAACACCCCCCAGACCCCATCGACTTCCCCATCGCCCCCGCCTCCTGCGTCGAGAAACTCCTCAAGCAATCCGGCCTCTCAAAGAACGACATCGCCATCTGGGAGTTCAACGAAGCCTTCGCCGCTGTTATCAAGGCCAACGCCAAGATCCTCGGTCTCGGCACCGACAACGTAAACCCAAGGGGTGGTGCTATTGCTCTGGGACACGCGCTGGGTAGCTCTGGAAGCAGGATATTGGTTACACTGCTGCATCAGCTGCAGGTTGGACAGTATGGCGCTGCTGTTATCTGCAATGGAGGCGGCGCGGCGTCAGGTATTATTGTGCAAAGAGTCAGCGCGGATCAACTTTAGAGACAGGCAAAAAGTATGGTATGTAGATCAAATTACAACAAGAATATAGTCATGGATGCTACCAAAGAGAAGCGTTCCTGCACAAGGGCAATGTTATGATCCAAGTCCCCATGCATCCCCTAACCAAAAATTCTACTTTGAACACACCACAACCCCAAGACTTTCCCACCTCCATGTCATATAACCCAGCAAAAAAAGAAACTCGACGTTGGCCAGACTCGAACTGACGCTCCCTAAGGAATTAGATTTCAAGTCTAACGCGATAACCACTCTAGAAATCCAGAATCAGTAAGCAGTATGTGAGGGGGATAGAAGGGGAGCTTACCCGCCACAACGCCAGGATGATATTCGGTGATTGATGATGTCATCGTAAATTTCATGGTTCATAGAATGAAGAAATTAAGAGTGTTGAGAAAGAACATTTTCAAGGAAGATCTGGTTGTGTAGAATTATGAATTGTAGGGTAGAATATGCGGTGAGTTGGCGGCTACGTATATGTGGTGTGATGGGTGCGTGCGTGGTGGAACGTGGGACAATGACGAGAGGTTATGTAGGAAGACGAAAGTGGTAATGAGAATAGCGCAAAGGAATGTTAGGATATAGCAAGGGATGTGCGATGTAATTATGATCATTAGATCTATACTTCTGCGTCAACCTTGGCTGCAAAAAGCTAAGATATTTTACCCCGAGTGTACGCCTACATTCCCGAGCCAGAAGAAAACAAAGAATTCTTTCACCATATGGAAGGAACATAATCATCAAATGACAGCCTGAGAGCCATCAACCTCATACCTGGTTAAGACCCATATCCATATCCGTATCCAAATCCATAGCAAAGTCCATATCATCCCAGGGCATCGCATCCGTACCCTCAACAGCCGCCATACTAACACCAGTCGTCGTAATAGGAATAGTAGAGTCAAAGTCCGCGCTGCTCGTTGGGTTCTGGAAATCCTCTGGCAGTTGATCCCACGATGGGAATTGGAAGTCGTCGACAGTAGGCCCACCCGCAGTCAAACCGTCAACCGTGGGCTGTTCGCTAGCGCTGGATGTGAACGGCGCCAGATGCGCAGTCGAATCATCGAGCCAGTACCTCCTCTTCGGTAACCCAGCAGTCTTAATCGAGAAGCCGATCTCGCCTTGCTCGCCGCGACAAGTACCGGCTCCTGTGCACGCGAGTTCTGAGATTGGCTCGCAGAAACCTAGTAA